GCATACGTTAAATTGCAATTTTAAACTAAGGTATATCATTTTGAAACTAACAGGAATTGTGAAGTGACACATAACATTCACATATTAAGTTAAACAGCAAGATACTTGAATTATTGTTTCTGTATAATGATTAACATGTGATCCTTCGGATCACATGTCAATCATTATGAAAAAATAATTCTCGTTATTGGATGTTTCACATCCAATAACTATTAAATATCGGGCCTTTATCTGTAATTATTTTCATTTTGGGTCTTTATTTTAATTATTTTCATTTTGGATCTTTATTTGTAATTACAGAATTATTTTCGTTTTTGGGCCCTTATCTGTAAATTCCCCCTTTTTAAGCTACAAGTTGACTCGAGTCCAAACATTAAACTCAGTACCTGGCATGAATCTATAAATATACATTCGATGTCTTTGTATAAGAAAAATTTTCCAGACATTCAAGACATAGTGCAATTACATTAAAAATGATCAATTATCGCTATTTTGTTTCCTTTGCCTTCCTAATATTACTTGGTGGTGTGCTTTTCAGCTTTTCGCTCGTGAACCTTTCAAATGTTCCATCTCCAGTTAATGATACTTTAACAAATTTTCCAACATTTCATCCTGAATTTCAAAGTATATAAAATCCTTAACTATATTTAAACTTTACTAGATGAATGTTAATAATTCTTAGATTTCTTAGATTTTAATTTAGAAACATGGTATTCGATGATCAGTTTCACAGCTTTCTTACAACTAGTTCCTGGAGTATTCATGCTAATATGGTCTTTAAAATACGAGACACTTAGTGTCTTCATATTTAATAACGAAAAAACTTCAACAACTACTTTTAATAAATTGCTAGCTGGTTATAGTATCGTAACTGGTACAATTGCGATCACCTTGATTATATTGGATCTTGGAAAACTCTTTGCATCGATTGCCGTGATGCATAATTATTTTGAAGCTATTATTATAATACTTTTACATCAAGGTGGAAATCTTGCTACAAATAATAATATTATTCATTATAGTATCATTTATATATTAATAGCCGGTGGTGCAACTATTTTACTTCAATGGCCGTATGATGCTTTTTGGTTTAAAGCTCAAGGTTAAAAATAAATTTACATTATGTATAGTATTTCTACATGTAATTTGGTAATTGATGCATCGACTAATATTTAACATATATTTGCAGGCCTTTCTCTTGATTGGGCACTTTTGATCCAATTTATAAGACTATACCTTACAACAAGACGAAATTATAAAAAAGATGACGATGACATTAGTTTACCCCTTAATACTCCTGGTGATGAAGGAGAGTCAGGACATCACAATGAATCGAATAATAGTCATCTTCATCATGTACTTTTATTACCTCTCGCTTTGCTTTTCCATGTAGCGGGAAATGTTTTAAATTCTGTCTTTTGGACCTCGGGACTTGCGTATGTTGATCTTTTATTACAGTTTTATCGGTTATTATTTGATAAGACATCATATTAATCTATATACCTTTTTTTTTTTAAACAAAAAAACATTATTACAGATATTATTTTTTTGCCTTCAGCTATGGCTTCGCATATACTCCTCTTGCTCTTTATGTGTATTTGGATACTCACTTGAGACCAAATAGGCCAAAAAAACCTATTTTCATACCTGATCCTTCTATTCCAAATGTTATTTTAGTTACAATCATTTCGGTAACACTCTCAATTTCGTCTCTTAGACTTGGCTTATTGTTTATACTGCATAGTTAAAAAACAAGTTTATTATACAAGTTGTTTGTTCTCAATGATTTGAATATTTTTTTTTATCATTATTCTATATGTTCACACCCTTTTAAACAAGAAAGTTTAGGCACATTTACCTTGTATAATTATGTATTAATATTATTTAATACAAATAAAAATTACTTTTAAGTTCTAGCAAATGTTTCAAGTTTACAAAAGTTTGTCAAAATGATTTTAATGACAACAGTTTATCAATAGCTACCTCACCGAGATGTTTTATATTGTGTTCCATTTGAACCAAAATGCAATTTTTTAAAATTTTAAAATTTAAAATTATATAGTACTAAATAAACTATTTAGTTGTGGTCTGTAATTAAACGAACACAATGCTATTAAAACAGTAGTTCATATCAATAATAAATCAGCTTTTAATTAATTATATTCCTTCACAATTGTCTCATTTTTTAACGACATATAAATTTAATATTTTCCAAACAATGCCAAAAAGCTTTAATAATAACTCAGTTAATAGTGACTAAATTTACTAACGGTAAAAGTCGAAATGAAATCATTATGCTAATGTTTACTTTCTACGGCTTAAAAATATGAAATTTTAATAAACGCTGCATTATTGTAACCTAACCTTAACCATAACACAATTTAATTAACTTTAATTTTACATGCAATTTTTTTTACTATATGTATAAAATCAAATTGCTTGACTATCACGTAATATTAGACGAAGAAGAATATGAGGTATTAGAATCTAATGATCAAGGGCAGGTTAATGAAGGTTTTTGCTTTTGCACTGGAGTAGAAAAGAATTCTCTTTTCTATTTCTATATTTAAAATGCTGAGTACTAATTATCATTAGTATTGTCATGTTTATTGATTAACTGGTGTAATGCGCCAGTTCATTGCACCATTGCCCCATTCAAAGTCATTAATAGAGATATCATTAATAAAATTTGCAAAATTTTAAAAATTTTATTTATTTTTTTTTGCTAATTAACCTTTATTATACTTCTAATTATCGCGCTTTTCGATTTTGAATCCCGTGAGTCCGTGAATACAACATAGATAGCCACTGTCACGATTTTTCCCTTTAAAATTGTGACCTGGGTTATAGGAATATTTTGAGGCTAAGCCTGTGGCGAAGGCTTAGAAATTTAGATCTGTACAATTATTTATTTTATTCGTCATTTCTTTTTATTTTTATATCTATTAGGAGTAGCTGCGCGACGCAGTCGCGCTAGAACCAGGAACGTGGAATATTTAATATTAAGCGTAGCAATTATATATAATATCCTTTCAAACCACCAAGTATGCACTATTACTATGAAGTAATTATGACATTGATGCAACAAGTACATGTGTCGGTTCTGTAACTTAACTTCTACTATAAACGGATAAATGAAAATCATAGCTTTTACTAAAACAAGATTTTGCTAAAAT